CCATGCCCAGTCATGGTAACCCACTTGAGTAAGTCACACTCTTGGACAAATCACACTCTCAAAGCCTTTGAGGAAGGCAGTGGCAAAGGTCCTCTCAATAAATTTTGTCAAGAAACTCCTAGGATAGATAGGGTCACCATAAAGCACAGTTGACTTGAAGGAATGTAGCAATAAGTGCATTCTCTTCCTGAATCTTTTTCACTCACCCTCTTCTTCTTTCTGTTTCTCTTTATTCTTGACATTGAGTCCCTCATAATTGGGGTGTGTGTGTTTTATCAATGACTGCAAGGGTTGCTGGCTAAAAAAGAGTTATCTCCATTTTCCCAGGCCTCTTTTTGAGCTCGGTTCTCTACTTGTTCAGTAAATTTTAACTGAATGATCATTGTCCTAGATAGTGACAGGATTGGTTCTCCCTATCTTTACACCACTTGAACTTGACCTGATCTGTTATCATCAGTAGTAAAACTGTATACCTCATTATTTCATTTAATTGCCCATTAAGGAAAATTCCATTGCTATAATGGCTGACAAATTGTTTTGTTGTCTATAGATTTTTCACAATTTTCCATTTGTCTTTTAAGAACACTCCATTTCAATACTATTTTGTAAACAAGTGCCACTTCTGCACACTGCTGTCAGCTTATTATGTCAACTTTATCAGTTGCCAAGTACCCAGTTGTGGCTGTACTTGATCTTTTTTTCCTGATATCCCTTTGGTGTTCTTGTCCCAGGGTTTTCCTCATAAATTTCTGATTTATTCCTACAACTCTTTATTCCCCTGTCCTGGGAGTTTCTAATACAGGCCTTTATCCATTTTCCTGATTCATCCTAATGTATTTTTGGTGAATCCCACAGATGATATTTTGAATGGGGAGGAGGGTGACCTTTGCCATGGTGGCTTCCTGCTCACTTTTGTTCCTTCACAACATTTTGGGATACCAGATTAACATTTTTCTGCAAGGCAAAGCACTTAGAATAAGGACTGGCATCCTGTTCTGTACCTATAAGTTGGATTTACTATTGCAACTTTAGGAATTCACATTTAAGGTTGTTAATAACTGATCTTTAATAACTGATCATTAATATCTCAGCCCAAAAGCCTACCTTTTCAGCCAGGCAGCACTCAAATCAAAGCACTTCTGAGGAAGTGCAGATGTGGCTACTGGGATATGATATTTGCAACCCTCCCCTAGTTGTGGTTTTTGTTGGGAGACACAGTTGTGGCAGGACCCCAAGAGGTCTCTCCAGCAGCCTGTTCTCAATGTGTCCCACAACCAAAAGTGTGTTGCAGATGTGATTTCCCAGTGCCCTCATCTGCAGTGCTTTGGAAACCCATTGGTTGAGACACTGCTTGGCTGACAAGATAAGTTAGAACAAAAGGTTAATTTATTCTTGGAAGACAAATACTGTGTTGTAGTAAACTGAAGACAGAAATTAAGTAAAAGAAGTGCAAAAACATATTTCATGGAAAGCTATGGCCAGGAACCAGTGAATTATGAAACTAATTCCACAATTTTAAGGATGCTTCATACTTGTTTCTGCTCAAACACCAGTCCCTTATTTTACATGGCAGACTGCACTCAGTCTGGAGGGGAGACTTTAGCAGTTTGGGCTATCCCATAGAGAGAGGATCAGCTGTTTGGAGAAGAAAATTTACCAGGCTAGCGCATATGCATGATTCATGATCAAACCACAGCAGCTATTATGATTTTGCCCAATGTGGTCTGTGTAGTGTACACACACGTGTGTGTGTGTACAAAATAGTTCAGTTGACATGAAGTCTGGCAGCAAACACATATTCCAAACTGTACACATAAATGAAAGATTGAAACCAGAATAGAGTGTACAATGGATTAACACATGATTATAACTGATGTGGGCATTTTGGAGACCTACATCATAGTCGTTCTTATCTGAAATCATGATCATCTGCTATTGGGATCTCCACACTGGGCTGCATTTTATATTTCTGGAAATTTATAGACAGTTATATTTATCCTTTGGGAATGTGATCTTGTTTTTATCAGTCTCATTTTTTAATTTACTGTGGACCAGTCAAATATGACTCACGAGAGCCATGCTTAGAATCTCTTTCAGATTTTGCTTTTCTAATTAGGAGCCCTCACTTCCTTCTCTCATCCTTTTTCACTCATTCTCCCACAAACTAATGGCATCTCTGGGTGTGAGGTTTACATTAGGGAAAGGTTAAATGCTTGCTGCCAGAGCATGTCTGTGATCTTCAAAGCAGATCTGTGGGGTTACTAATTAGCAAAACAAAGCTGCTTTGGCCCCAAGATCACATTAAAAGTTCAGCTCATCTTGTTAATGTTTTCTGATGTTTTGAAAATTTTCTGTTTGCATATTGAGATTGTAACTTCGTGTCACTCTTAACAAATTGTTCATAGACAGACATGGGAGCTCATGTCAATGAACTCAGTGAGAAATGTGGTGTAAGATTTGAATAATTCTTTTAGCTTTTTCGTTCATATATGTCTGTTGTTTTTTTTCATACACACACACACACACACACACACACACACACCTTAATCTCTTCCGCTACCCCAGTTTGTACAGGAAAGCATCTTTGCTGGTACAAAGGTATTCAGTTCAGGTATTAGGATTTTTCTACCAATGCAGATTCTAAAACAGGGATATGCAATTGTGATTGTCCTAATACTTTGGGACTTTGTTGTTGTTGTTAACTATCTTCTATTTGATTTTAACCCATGGCAACCCTATGTATGAGATACCTTCAAGTCATCTGATTGAATCTAGCCATCTGGAATGCAGTCTTCCTTTTTTTTCTTATTGCCCTTTACCTTCCCAAGCATTACCATCTTTTCAAATGAGTCCTTTCTTCTCACGATATGGCCAAAATATAACCTCAGTTTACTCATCTTTGCTTCCCGGGGACAGTTTGGGCCTGATGTGGTCTAGGACTCTTAAAACTCTCATAATGCCTCAATATTAGCTATGCTGGCTAAGAGTGATGGGAGTTGTGGTCCAATATCATTACAAGGGCCACAGTTGCCTGCCCCTGCTCTAAAAATCAGCTTAAAAAAACCTGCATTTTAGATCAGAGATGGGTAACTTTGCCCTTCCAATGTTGTTGACCTTCATCTCCCATCAGCCACTACATGATTCCTAGAACCCTGTTGCTGACATTCAACTGGAAAAGTATTGCTTATGCTGTTATATGGTAAAGTATTTGTTCAACTAGTAATGAGAGCTAGAATTTCAGAAGACTTATCTTTACATTATGGAAATAACTTAATCTTGGCAAAATACAAGAATCTGAGTAAAAGTATGCAATACTTCACCAAACTCAGTTTCAAATATAAAATAATAGTTCAGTGGGAAAAATTCAAATACAAGATACAATGCAGATGCCTATGTAATTTATTTTAATAAATAAAAGTGTCTTTTATTAATACTGGAATGAGTTTTCTATATAATTTTAAATTACCGGTAGATTTAAAGTTTCTGGGGCACTTAAAATCAGGATTTCAGAAAATACAGCTGGCTTTGATAGCCACTCTTTATTTGTTATTATCAAATAAACCTACTGCACTTTTTTCAACACTTTTTCTTGCAGCTTAATGTTACTTAATGTTATATTGGGAGAGAATGCAAGAGTCCGCTTGGCCAGTTGTTATTTTGGTCAATGAGGGCCTTTTCACACTGCATAGTTATAGCACAATGATTCCACTTTTATTCCTGTAGAAACATCCCAATGGACTTTTGTTTTATTTTGTTTTGCAGTTTAGGGAGGGTGTTTTGAATTTTCAGCCAAAGAACCCTAGTCCCCCTCCAGAATACAAATCCCAGGATTCCATAGGATATTGCTATGATGAGTAAAGTGGAATCATAGTGCTATAACTCTGCAGTATGAAAGGGCCTTATATCATTGTTTTTAAAATGTCAAGGAAGGAGAGAGAGAGAGAGAGAGAAAATATCTTATATGTTATCTCTGTTTCTTTTCAAGTGCTAGAGTTCTTTATCTTCTCTGTTCCCCATCCCATTCTGTGTCTCAGTTATTTTCATTGGGTTTATTTTAAACTACAACAGAATTGTTCAATAGCTCATCTGGAACTACTCCTTCCTGAGCAGCAGCTTTGAGGGCCATAGAAGAGTGAGGAATGAATGGTTGTTTATTGGGGATACAGTGTGATTTGTGTGGGACTGAGTGCTGTGGAAAGATAGGAATTGATTTTTGTACTAAGGGCAGAGGTAGCTGCTTTTAAGAGAATTTGGGATCTTCCATCCATCTCAGCTCAATAAAGGAGAGAAAACACTTTAGAGAAATACAAGTAAAGGTACCCAGTCTCATTCAGCATATTTCAATGCTCTCCCCTCTCCTTGATTACATGTATTCACCTCTTTTGCATTACTGCACACCAACTTCCTTCCTTTTTTAATTAAAGGAAATGCAAGCAATCATGAGCAAGCCAGTACAGCCCAGCTCCTTGATCTGCTACATGTAGCTCAAACCTTTCAGCTGTTGTGATTTGGCTGTGATAGTTCCAATTAATCATAGAGATGGAAGAGACCTCAAGGACCATCCAGTCCAACTCTCTGCCATGCAGAAACTCGTAATAAAAGTATCCCCGACAGATGTCCATTCATCCTGTTTAAAGAGCTTCAAAGAAGGAGACTCCACCAATCACCGAGGGAGTGTGGTAAAGGGATCAGACAAGAACTAAATTAGAAAACTGGGCAGAAATTAATAAAATGAAATTCAGTAGAGACAAATACAAAATTCTACACTTAAGCCACAAATCTCTTTTGACTATAAATGCCACCCCATTTCTTCTTCTTTTCATTTCCTCAGTAACACATTATGTAACTGTTGTTCTGTGGCCTCAGGCCATTCCCAACTTATAGTAACCCTAAGGCGACACTATTATTTGGTTTGCTTGGCAAGATTTGTTCAAAGGTTTGCCATTGCTTTCCCCTGAGGCTGAGAGTTCACTTGCCCAAGCTCACCCAGTGGGTTTCATGGCCAATCGGAGTATTGAACCCTGATCTCTAGAGTTGTAGTCCAACACTCAAACCACTACACCACACTGGCATCTGATTCAAAATGTCCCATTCCTGTACGCTTTAGCTCGCTCACTGGGTATTGCAATGTTTATATGTTCCAACACCTTGCCGCCTTTGAACCTGCTGTTGAGATCACAGCAGCAGTAGGACTAAGTGGCTGTGGGGGCACTAGTCCAGGATGCTGCCTGTCCTCCCCAAATATGAGCCTGAAGTTGACCTCGTAATTGGCATTGTCACTGTATGATACGCTGAACACACTGATGGCTGAGGAACCTGGAACTCACTGCTGCAGCCACGTCAGACTTCACTTGGGAGCAGGCCTAAGAGTAGAAAAGACAAGGGATGGAGTAGGCTTTGCTCAGAGCTGGCCTGAGGTCAGGGAAGCAATAGTCCTACTATATTCTGCACTGGTCAGGCCTTGTCTGGAGTACTATATTGAGCAAGGTTTTGGACTTCTCGGCCCATGAAGCCCCTTCCAACTCTATGATTCTAGGACTGAACATGCTCAAACAGGCATGGAATGTTGATTTCCAGAAGGGGAAAAGCTGGAGTAGAATGGTCTATCTTGATAAAAGGCATGCCTACCTGACTGGAAAACCCATTAGGAACTCACAGCAACATTTAATTGCAGGGCCCCTTGTTTTGTCTCTAAAACACAGAGGAAACATGAGAAGGCCATCTCTACAGCAGGAAAGTATTTTATAGTTTTGAGTGCATAAGGGATAACAGTTGGAACTGTAGCTCATTCTTGCATGGTTTTCCCTATGTGTTTTTTCTGACCAGTAGTGTGGGTGGGATAATTTCCACTGCTATGTTTTTCTTTAGTATATTTATTGTTTCTAAAAATGCATGTTCCCTGTAAAATTGGTATTGCAGTGAATGGATGTAGTCCTAGTCAAACTGAACATTTTCTAATTTTAAAAATTCCAGTAAAGAGGCTTCCATCACAATCTCTTCTAAACACTAAACTAGAAGTGGTTTGCACCCTATCCAATTGTGAAGATTGTATACTAGGGAGCAGAAATGTTTCTTGGGCTGCAGTGTTTGATCAACTTAGTTTACAGGAAGTGATATTGGATACTTTTGGCAGGTATCTATATTAGGACAAGAGGTTACTGTCAGAACAGAACACGGAGAAATAGAATGGTTCCCAGTTGGCAAAGGGGCCAGAAAACAAGGGGTCAAGTTCTATCTGTTCAACTTGTATTGCAGAACATATTATAAGAAAAGCAGGCACAGAAGAAGGAGGAGTAAAATTAGGAGGAAGGAATATCAACAATCTAAGATATGCAGATGACACCATAGTACTAGAAGAAAACCTCACAGACCTGGAACACCTACTAAGGAAGATCAAAGAAGAAAGTGAAAAGACAGGCTTAATGTTGAACATAAAGAAAACAAAAATAATGACCACCAAGGACCTTCACAAGTTCAACCTAGACAATGAAGAAATATAAATAGTAAAAGAATTCTCACACCTGGGATCAAACATTGAGAAAAATGGAGACTGCAGTCAGGAAATCAGAAGAAGACTAAAAATGGGGAAGATGGCTATGAAAGAACTAAAAAAGATTCTAAAATGCAAAGATATACAACTCAGCACAAAAGTCAGAATCATACAAACCATTGTAGTCCCTATTACCATGTATAGATGTGAGAGCTGGACAGTTAAGAAAGATTATAGGAAGAAAATCAATTCATTTGAGAGTGCTGAGGATCCCATGGGCAGCCAAAAAGACAAACAAATGGGTCCTAGAGCAGATCAAGCTGGACACCTCCAGAGAACCAAAATTAAATCAAGATAACCAAGTTGAGGCTGTCATATTTTGAACACAACATGAGAAAGAAGGACTCATTAGAAAAGACAATAATGCTGGGAAAGGTGGAAGGAAGTAGGAAGAGAGGAGGATGGACTCTATTAAGCAGGTCACAGGTATGGGGTGGTATCAGGAATTCAGCAGAGCAGTGGAGGTCAGAGGGTCTTGGAGATGTCTCATCCATAGGGTCACCATGAGTTGAGATCGACTCGAGGGCAGTTAACAACAACAACAATCTATAGCAGTGCTACTCATATTGGGTGTCTGTGGAATGGTTCAGGTCTGTTTCTAGGAAAGAAAGAAACAATTACAGCCAATGAGCAGAAATATGGTACTGGTCCCTAACACACTGCAAAAACAAGCAACCAAGCAAAAAAACCCATTCTGCTCTCTCATCAGGTAACATGAGAAGCAATGTACTATTGCATTCCATGTTCTCCGTAGCAGGAGAATGTGTTGTGTCATTACTGCATACAGTGGTCCCTCTACATTTGCTGGGGTTAAAAGTGAAGGACCCCCATGAATGTGGAAAAACTGCAAATAAAAAAAAAAACACTGTGAAGTTGTAGGCTTTCATGGCCAGCATCCATAGTTTTTTGTGGGTTTTTCGGGCTGTGTGGCCATGTTCTAGAAGAGTTTCTTTCTGACGTTTCACCAGCATCTGTGGCTGGCATCTCTGAAGATGCCAGCCACAGATGCTGGCGAAATGTCAGAAAGAAACTCTTCTAGAACATGGCCACACAGCCCGAAAAACCCACAAAAAACTATTTTAAAAACCACTATCCTTTTTACTGAAGAAAATACCTCTCTAGGAATGCCTAGGTCCTCCAGCGCAAATCTGCCAGACGTTGACCACAGAATTATGCTGGAAGACCTACAAATGCCTAGAGAAATGTTTTTTCTGGGAACTTCTAGGTTCTCCAGTACAACTCTCTGGTCAACATCTGGCACCTAGAGAATCCTAGAGAGAGCATATTAATTCAAACCACAAATAATCAAATCTGCAAAAATGAAAGCCACAGGTGTGGAGGGCCAACTGTATATTCAGACTTAACCCATGTGCTATACCTTATTATATTTTCTTTTACAAAACTCCACTTAATAAAGTTATTTAAAGTCCAAGAGATGCTCAGAATTGTAGGTGTTTGGGGCTGCATCTGCACTGCAGAAATAATGTAGTTTGACAACACTTTTTGTTTACATCAGTTCAAGTAGTTTGTTTTTTTAAAGAATTTAGTTATTTTGGAGAATAATGATTTTGAGGAATACTGCTTAAAGAAAATACTGACATTTATTTTATTCTATTCATATCTATGAGTCTATTTTGCTGTTAAAATTATGTAATTTCATAGATTTTGAAATGTAAATATCTAACATCAGATATTAGTGACATATCATTTTACAGTAAAAACCTTAAGGAAAAAAAGATACTCCCCCATAATATTTTAGCCAAGATCATATCTCTGCAAAAATGTCGGTGGGATGTTGTAACACAACACTTTAGAGCTAGTATGTCCCTCAAGATGTAAATTCCAACACTTTTTTGTACATTAGCATCTTACACAGAAAGGAAATTAGTTCTTGAAAGAATGCTATGCATAATCCATCCAAGACATTTTTGTTAAAGAAATACCAGCTGTCAAGACGTTTGCAGCCAGTCTTGACTTATTACAATAACATTTTACAGGAAGTTTTCATTATGGGATCATACACTAAAATAATCCTTCCAGAAGTTCCAAAAGTGTCGCAGATGCCCATTAGTTTGTTGGCTAAGACTTTGTTAAAGATACTAGGATATGAAAATTTGATTGCTGCTCATTACTACGACCGTCCCTATATCTTTCACAACATATTGGCACACAGATACCAAACATTTTAAAGCTTTGGCTGAACTGAGGTTGGTGGTGAAAATCGTACTTACTGAACTTGTGCCAGATTGCTGTTTAAAAACACAGGAATCAACACTTTCATTAAATTCAAGGGAGACTGCAGTTGTAAGAATAATTCAATTTAAGCTATGTTAGCATGAAATGTTAAGCATAACCTAGGCCCATTCAAATAATTGGGAATTAAGCACAATGGAGTCAGTCAGGATCAAATGAAGTGACTGCACTGCATACATATGATTTTAACTTTTGCATCATATTCTGCTGTTCTTTGCTTATACAGTGGTCATTCCCCATTCACTGGGGTTAGGGGGTGAAGGACTCCTGTGAATGTGGAAAAACTGCATATAAAAAAATAATATTCTTATTCCCCAAGAGAAAACCTCTCTAGGAGTCTCCAGATCCTCCAGTGCAACTCTATGGTCAACATCTGGTAGAAATGCACTAAAGATTCCTAGAGAGAACATATTAATCAAAACTGCATCTAATCAAATCAGCAAATGTCAAAGCTGTAAATGTGGAGAGCGAACTATACAAGCTTTTTGCTGAATTTAGGTATTTAAGTCCTTGGATGTATATGGCCCTTGTTGAGGGTTAAAAGTACGATTGTCTTTTGTACAGCGCTGTGTACACCGACAGAGCTCTAGAAATCAACTTTAATAATAATAATAATGTTTTGATCATGATTTCCAGAATTACTGGATTAGCTGAATACACCTGAGATGTGATCACTTACCAGTGGCTTTCTCTAGACACAAGTAAAGTGTGCCTATTCCAGTTTCATTTAGCCTTGCAGGCCAGGTCATCTAAGGCTATGAGTCAATCTTTTCAAATTGCCCAGTCCGGAATGAGGCCTGATTATAAAATAAATATTGTTGTTTGTTTGTTCTTGTGTGCCTTCAAGTCGTTTCCAACTCACGGAGACCCATAAGTATTGGTACTTTATTGGTAGCAAAAGAGAAAAGATTAAATTGCAGCAGAAGTAATAGACATTCTATTTTACATGTCTAAATAGAAATCTACCTGCCAAATTGGTTAATCTTGCCTGTACATGCAATTCTGAACCCACTCCTAATTAACCAACTATTAATGCAGTTAGGGTTGAGATATTGAAAACTAGAGAGAGCTCCTATACTTCTAATGGTTATGTAGGAGAGGGATTTTCAGCAGTTGTTTGTGATGCAGCTAGGTAAAAAGCTACACTTGCTGGGAATTCCCACTTCTAACCAATTAGTAAAGGTACAGCCCTACATGGCTTGGGTCCATCTTATCTT